CAGACACAACATCTTTGTTTGTATGTGGTGCTGAGGATTGAACCCGGGCCGCACGCATGCCAGGCGAGCGCACTACCGCTTGAGCCACATCCCCAGCCCTTTTATTATTGTTTTATCCCAAGAAGAGAATTAAAAGTAGTCAGGGTTTTGATTTTTCCATATTGTTCCCATAATTCTTTGCCATGCACATTTGCCTTCCCACCCAACTGGACTCTTCATTTTACCTGAAAGTTCCTCCTGCCACAAGGCTTTCATTTTCCCACCATAAATAACAGGATCATAACAGGATCAGTTTCGTCGTTTGTCTGCTCTGTGCAGCATTCCCTGTCTAGGTTGTGTGATTTTGTGGGACCCCTCAGCTCTGTCCCCCTGGATAGGATCTTTAATCAGTTGAGAAGCTCCAGTAATGACTATTGCCTTGGACAGCTTGGGGAACTCAACAGCTCTGAACCCTCTTTTCTCTGGGATTTCTTTAGGGCAAGGAGAGAAACTCAAAAGAAATTGAGGCACCGAGCACCCAGAGGAGGGTATGATCCAGTCCCTCTGTCTTGGTTAGTTCTTAAAACCATAATCCTTTTGCACCAGGAGTCCTTTGCCAGAAAACTTTACCACTCAGCACTGTAGGAGAGCTGCCAGCTCCAGATTTGCTCTTGAGCAGAGCCACCTCTGGGTCAACCCCATCCCCTCTTGCTCTCACCCCAGCAGAATCTCATACAGTCTATAAAGATGTTTTCTTTTATTGGCAGGTGAAGTCTGGAGCAGGACCCTGAAGCTCTCTGTCCTCCATGCTGCTCACTAGAAAAGGGGCTCTGAGCTGTAAGTAACTTTGATTGGCATTTTCCATGCTGACTCAATAAGGTTATGGGTTCAAGACCAGCCCTGGACCCGATCTTTAACAGCCACGCATTGTGCAAGAGAAACACTCAACAATGAGCTAGTCAGAATGTAAAATACAGTGGAGTTCTAATTAGATTATGTCTGAATGTGACAAAGAAGCCCTGTAATATGACATGCTATTTAATTAGACTGTATTGATTGGGCATTAAGGTGGACTTGATGTGTTACGTGTGTCATGAGAGCTGGGGAAGGAAGCTCTTGAGTTTCTTGTAAGGCCAAGCCAGACCGCAGGCACTACTGCCTGGGGGTTGAGTTTGCAGGGTCAGCAAAAGGAGGAAGAGGTAACATCAGTCTCCAAACTGGACCAAGTTCATAACCCAGACTGGCTTTTGCATCTGATTATTTCTGGGGAGGTGTGAAGGAGGATAAAGGAAATAATACTGAGCATTTCCCTTTCATCTTCCAATAAGAGCTCCACCGCAAACAGGCTTATGGGTCCCCCCATTTGGCAAGAATTTGCTCACCTGTAGGGCCTGGCCACTTTCCAGCCTTCTTAGTGGAGTCCTTTTTGGTAACCCAGCTAGAAGTGACTTTTCCTCTTCTGACATTCTGCAGCATTCACCATTGCTCACTCCTCTGGACAGAACTTTACTGTGTTCTCTCCAGCGAGGCTGTGAGGTCCAAGAGGGTGAAGTCTGGGATCCCACTTTGTGTGCACACTGCACCCTCAACCTGGTTGCCACTTGGTGACCATCAGTTGTGTGGCTGGGTTGTACAGGGCAGGCATGGCTCTTCCACCCTGCTTCTAGGACTACCTGTGACTAAGCTGCTGCTGCTGCTGCTGTGACTTTGATAGTACATTGGCTTCCAACCAGTCCATGGAATTATAAATGATTAACCGTTATCAGCGCACATCTTCACCTCTGTGTAAAAATAGATTGACTGTAATGAGTATTTGAATAAATCATAAGAATGGCCGCCCTGTGATCGGCTAACATCCTGCCGATGACTGCCTGGTGAGTGAGCAGGGCGCCGGCCTCCCGCCTAATGGCCTGCAATTCAGTGCTGGTCGCCTCTGTGATTGACGGGCCTGGGCTCCCAAGGCACCTCCTCTGCAGCCCAGGCTCTGGAGTGGTCCGGCCCCAGGCTGAGGGGGTAGGGAAGGGTGCCTCCCTCCATCCTGTTCCAGGAAAGCCTGCCTAGAGATGGAGCTGGAGGTGGGTGGGGGAGCCAGAGTAGGAGATAATGACCTTTGTGAGAATCGATGTCTCCTCGCACCGGAGGTTAGAGGGACCTCATAAGTCAAGTCAAGTATGAGGAGCAAGCTGAGCGTGAACCTTTATGGGAGCTGAGAGTGGGGGGAGGGGGATTGGTCTGCACCTTCCCTCCCTGCCTTGGAGGGCAGCTGAGTACCTCAGCACTGGGTCACCCGCACCCAGAGAAAGCTCATTCACAGGGACACTCTTGGACCTGCAGTTGAGGAACCAGGAAGAGCAGGTTTCTTCAGAGCTCGGAAATGGGGAGGATTCAAATGATTTTTCAGGCAGTGACTTGCCAAAGCCACATGGGTGTTGAGGATGCTGCCTTTTGGAGGGGGAGTAAGAAGGGGAGAGGAGGCGGGCACAGAGCTATGTGCACCAAGTGAGGAGGGACGTGTTTCAAAGTAGATTTAGAGAAGACCAGTGAGGGCTGTGTTTGATTGGGAAATAGCAAACATTCCAATTTCATTCTAGTGCTGTCACAGTTACTAGCCTGCGTAACAAACCATCCCCAAATACACAGTAGCTGCGAGACGTTTATTCCGTGAGCAGGGAATGTTAGACAGGGACTGGTCACCACCAGCTCATTTCTGTTGCACCAGGCCTCAGATTTCAGCTGGGGCAACTCAAAAGCAGGGTGCTGGAAGCATCCAAACACTCATTCACTCATCATTATTCTGAGCTTTGATGCCAGCCATTGGCTAAGGCCTTAGCTAGCCAGACCCATGTGACCTTTCCCTATGGCCTGGGCTTCCTGACATTATGGTTGCCTGATTCCCAAGAGAAGCCTCCTGAGAAAGAGCAGAAGCCAGGCGGAAACTCTTTTGCCTTTTATGACCTACTCCCTGAAGTCAAGCAGCACCACCCACACTGCATCCTCTCAAATCCTCTGATGGGGGAAAGGTGCAAGGGTCATCTAGGTTTAAGAGAAGGAACAGGGCTGGGGTGGGGGCTCATGGTTGAGAGCTTGCATAGAGCACGGGAGGCACTGGGTTTGATCCTCAGCACCACATAACAAATAAATAAAATAAAGTTATTATGTCTATCTACAACTAAAAATATATATTAAGGAGAGAAGGTATATAAACCCTCTACCATCACTACCACCTCTCAAAGGAGCATCAACATCACACTGAAAAGGGCAAGAGGGATAGGAGATATATATATATATATCCTCCATATCTGTGGGGAATTGGTTCCAGGACCTCCTGTTGATACCAAAATCTGTGGATGCTCAAGTCCTTTTATAAAATGGTGTGTGTAGTATTTGTGTATAACCCATGCACATCTTCCTGAATAACTTTAAATAATCTCTAGATTACTTCTAAAACCTAATGCAATGTAAATGCTATGTAAATAGTTGTTAGGCTGTATTGTATAGGGCACAGCGACAAGGAATAAAACTGTACATGTTCAGTACAGAGGCAATTTCCCCCAAAATATTTTCAATTCATGGTTGGTTGAATCCCTGGATATGGAATCTATGGATACTGAGGACCAATTACGTGTTGTAGCCCATCTTTGGAGACTAGTCTACTACAACTAGTATTTGTCAAATATCTGCTAGCAGTCTGGTACAACTTGCCTTATCTATTTCCCAGTAAAGTGAAAAGGACTTCCTGGGAAGTGATGTGCTCCCTCTTGCACGATGATGGGTAAGCTGGGCATGATGGCAAATGCCTATAATTTTAGCTACTCAGGTGACTGTTATAGGATAGCAAGTTTGAGGCATAGGCAATTTAGGAAGACCATGTCTCAAAATAAAAAACAAAATAGATTGGGGATATAGCCTAGCATGCACAATCCCCAGCACCACAAAAGGAGGTGGGGATTGCTCTAGATAAATCAAACTGCCCCTTGACTCTGCACATCTGAGTTTAAAGGGCCTCTCAAAGTCAAGCTAGGCTTTCAGGGTTGGGGATGTGGTGAGGCTAGGAGGCCCTTCAATGGGTGGAAATCTCTATCTGCCAGTTCATCACAGCAAGAGCAAATCTGGTTTGCAACCCACAGCTTGAAGAGTCAGATCTGGAGGGGTCTTAGACCTGTGACCTAGGACTCCATAAACCTTGACACTTGGTTTGCCTCCACACTCCCCCCATCTCTATTGCCATGGCTTTCCAAGCTAGTGTGGGTTTCAACCACAGATCAGGGTTTAAAAGGCTATAAGGGGCTCTCTGGACAAGGGAAATTCTTTGGTTTCCCTTGCTTCCCGGCCCCTCAAGCCTTCTGTTATTTTTCCTTTCCCTCTACCACACCCTCTGATCTGGAGAAACTGTGTCCTTAAGGAACCAAGCTCCCTTTTTTTTGTTGTTCATGCTTATTTGTTCATGCTTCTGAAGCAGAGACAGCTATATTTTGGAGGAGAATCTGAGTGCTGTGGCTGCCTTGTTTTGACTTAAGGAGATATAAACAAAACCAAAGAGATCAACGAGTGGAGACAGAACCAGTCCACCTTCCCAGGAGGCTGAGATCTGAGAATGGCTAATGCCAGAGGGAAGGGGTAGGAAAGAGAGGGGTCAGGGGACTTGGATTAGACGAAAAGTCACTGGGGTTTGGAAGGAGAATTTTGGTTCTTCTACATCAGGTCAATGTTAACATTAGGAGGCAGCACTTCTAGGCACTTACTACACTTGCTAAGCTCTTGGGCTATGATTTGTGTGGATTCCTGTTATTATCTCTGTATTGCACAAATGAAGAGAAGCCTCAGAGAACAAGAGAAGTACCCTAGGAAACAACAGTGAGTTTGTAACAGAGTTGAAATCCAACTTAGAACTCTGTTCTCAAGGCTTGAAGCCCTCATTATTTTTTCAGTGCACACTGTATGCATTGATTGAAATGTCATACTGAATTTCATTAATATGTATAATTAATATGCTAATAAAAAATAAAAATAACTAAATTCTAAAAACAGATTTTTAAATAAGGAGCTTCAGTTTACTCTTCTGTAAAATGGGGATGTCTGCTGGGTGTGGTGGCGCATACTTGTGATCCCTGCAGTTCAGGAGGCTGAGGCAGGAAGATCGCAAATTCAAAGCCAGCCTCAGCAACTTAGCAAAGCCCTAAACAACTTAGTAAGACCCTGTCTTATAATGGGGATATGGCTCAGGGGTTAAGGACCCTGAGTTCAATCCCCAATGCAAAAAAAGAAAAAGAAAAAGAAAAAAGAAAAAAGTATGTCTGATGATATCATCCTCAATGGCTAAGATTCTGGGAACTTGCTTAGAAACATCTAAAGTAGGCCTTCTTTATGGAAATGAAATTATGGAATCATTTCCTGTTCTTTCCCGTTTCATGAAACTTAGGTCAGGAAACTAATATTTAATTTGGGCAGGTGAAGGAAACAGATAAAAACATTTCAATTTTCAAGACTCCAGCTTTGGGGGGAAATGTTGGGTATGATGTCCAAAGCTTGGGTTTGAATCCCAGTCTCATGACTTAATACCTTTGTGATTTTGAGCATATTGCTTTGGTCTCCAGATTCCTCATCTCTAGAAAAGAGATGAGATTGTATACGTATCTTAGGACTGCTGTGGGGACTCAATGAAATCCAGCATGTGAGTCATTCTTGGCACATAGTAGGTACTTAATAATGGTTCAATCATTCATTCACCCAGGAAATAAATAAACAATGGAATTAGAAAGAAAGATTATTTCTTTTAATTGCTTCTGACAGAAATGGTCAAGAATGTTGCCTTTAACTGTACTCTCCATAAAAGTTCA